TGAAGGATAGAGGGCGGGTCGTGTTCAAAATGAGGCTCTCGCCGTACGCCCTAGCGCCGCGCACATTCTTCTTGGAAGTTCGCAAGAGCTTCATGGATGGAGGGCGGGTCCTTTTCAAAATGTGGTTCTCGCGTTAGCACCGCGCCCATTCGTCTTGAGAGTTTAAAGGAATTTCGAGGATTCTTGCGGAAGACGTCCGAGAAAGTGTGTTTTGGCACGATTCGCGGATCCAAGAAATCCGCGCGGAGCGCCAACAGTTTATGTTTACGGCTACTTTCCTTCTTCGATTCTCACTTCCCCCCAGGCTCGCCGCCGAAATGTGGCTCACTCGAGGTCTGGTTCCCTTCCCTGGGACCGGTTCTTCATCCTGAGCCATTGTTTGACGGTCCCGAGGCGGTAGGGGCTCCCAGAGGCAGAAACAAACAAAAAAACTCGCGTCGCGATTTCGCTCACAACGCAAAAGAGGGGGTCCGGGCCACTTCCCCCCAAAGGCTGGCTGCCGCCGCCGCCCCCTCATTTTCCCCTCCTCCTCCTCCTCCTCCTCCTCCTCCTCCTCCTCCTCCTCCTCCTCCTCTCCCCCTCCTCCTCCTCCTCCTCCTCCTCCTCCTCCTCCTCCTCCTCCTCCTCCTCGTCCTCCTCCTCCTCCTCCTCTCCTCCTCCTCCTCCTCCTCCTCCTCCCTCATCATCATCATCATCATCATCATCATCATCATCATCATCATCATCATCATCATCATCATCATCATCATCATCATCATCATCATCATCATCATCATCATCATCATCATCATCATCATCATCATCATCATCAGCATCAGCATCATCAATCATCATCATCATCATCATCATCATCATCATCATCATCATCATCATCATCATCATCATCATCATCATCATCATCATCATCATCATCATCATCATCATCATCATCATCATCATCATCATCATCATCATCCGTAGCCATTTTGGCTCAAGCTGTTTCTCCGGACTTTCGCAGGCGCCCACGCGCAGCGGTCAGCGGCGCGCGACTGGGAGATGAGCAATGGCGACGGGGGGCTGCCCGCAGGCGCGATGGCGGGGCGGCCCACCAGGCGTGGCAGTGCGCTGCGCAGGAAGGAGGAGGCCGAGGTAGGCGCCTCGGCGGCCCGCCGACGGGCGCGGGCGCGGCGCCTCCTCGCCGCCACGGCGGCAGTCGGCAAGGCGGCCAGCGGCGGCCCAGGTTCCTGGCAGGACCGGGAGGCTGCTGCGCGCCCCGCCTTGCGCCGAGCCGCCGCGGGACGCCGCGTCCCAGGCGCAATGCGGCGGCGGCGGAACGCCGCGTGGCACGCGCTGCTGGTCCCTGCGGGCGGATTCGCGCGCGCGTCCGTAGCGGGCCTTTCGCGGGCCGCTGCAGGCCCCCGCCTGGGCTGGCTGCCCTCGCTCCCGGAGGCGGCCGCGCTGCCCTTCGGCGACTACGGTGAGGTACCCGACGAGCACTGCCAGGCTCCCGGTGCCATGGACTGCCCAGTGCTGGGCGGCGCTGCCGCCACTGATGGATGGCGGCGCCCCCCCATCGTGAGCTTCGCGAACCTGGTCGTCGCCGTGGCAGTGGACGGCAGCGTCCAGACGGAGCTCCTGGGGGGCGAGGATCACCTCGATCGCCTGCGGCGGGTCTTGCGCCAGCGGCTCGAGGCGGCACAGCGGCCCGCGCTCAAGCCTGCCGCTGCCCTGTTTGCCCCGCTGCCCGAGGTGCTCCAGGTACGGATCGTTGGCATGCTATCCCTGCCCGACAGGCTGCGGTTGTGCCAGGCCTCAACTGGGGTCGCCTGGACCTTCGAGAGCAGCCCCTGTCGGCTCGCGGAGGCGCTGGAATCGGATCTGCGGGACGCGGCGCTCCTGCAGCAGCTGGAGGGCGCAAGGCTGCACAGGGACGCGAACGCCGACGTGGACCTGGGCCGCGGTTTCGGCTCCGACTACCAGCTGGACATGCTGAGGGGGGAGTTGCACCATCCCGCGTCGAACCGCACCCAGTACAGGGCTCTGGTCGCGAAGCAGGCCCAGGACATCCGCTCCCTACGGGAAGGCTGGGCTGCTGCGGAGCATGCGCTGCGGGACCAGCTCGCCACGCTCAGGGAGCAGCTGCAGGCGTACATCGCGATGAGCTCGGATGCGCCAGCGGCCGCGGGCGAGCACAACGACGACGCATCCGATGGCTCGCTCTCGTCCCTCGTGGTGGAGGATCGAGGTGATGGCGAGTTCTCCGACGGGTTCGATACTTCCGATGTCCTCCTCGATGGGACTGTGGGCCTCAGGGCCTTGCCTCCCCTGCCTGCTCTCACCGACTGCCCGATCGGTTTCAGGGCTCTCACTTGGCTGTGGGACGGCAGGGATCCCACCGACATGAGGCGCATCGCCGACGAGCTGAAGTGGGCGGCTGCGACCCCCGTTCCCGATGAGCTCGAGGGCGACACGGTGGATGTGGTTCCCGAGGGCGCCGCGGCGCCAGGAGTCCACGTGGACGATATCGAGTTGGACGACCTGCAGGCGATCATCCAGCAGCACTGCGCAGCGGGGGGGAGGCTCAGAGTCCCCCGAGGCGCTGGCCCAGCTGCTGCGGGCGACACCACTGCCCCTGCAGGAACTAACGGCGACGGGTTCGGCGACGTCGGCGGCCGATCCGTTCCCTACAGCGGCGATGGCATCGACACAGGCTTCTTGTCTGCAGGCGAGCTTCTGGAGGCGGCGGCCGCCTCGCGGTTGGCCCTCGCAGCGGCCAGCTTCCTCCTCGGGGTCCCACTCGAGGCGCCCCAGGCCTTAGACGCTCAGATGCCCGATGAGGCAATGTGCTTGCCAGTTGTTGCCGCTCTTTATCAATAATTTGGCGCTCGACACGGCCGCGTCGGTCGGCGGCGCTTCACTCTCGTGCCGAGGGGGACCCGTCGCGAAGGCTTCGCACTCGCTGGGTTCTCTCTCTGCTGGCGCCCTCGGTAGGCCGTGCACTCAGCTCTGAGCGCTGGGGTGCATGGCGCACTGATGGAGCGACCAAGGTAGCTAGGCGCACGTGCGCCCGCCCGCTGGGGGGCCTTGGTGCCTTCACGGGATCTGCTCGTGTCGCAGGCGGGTCCAAGGATCACGAATGCCTGCGCCGAGCTGCTGCCTCTGGGGGGGGAGGGACCCCGTGGCGTAGGCTGTACCCCGTGGGGCTCGGCACACGCCAGGGTTCACTCCCTCCCGCCCCTCTTGGGCAGCGTCTTACGCTCGGCGCCGTCCGCCGGCTCGCTGCAGAGCAGCCGCAGCGACGCGTCGGCGGGCCCTGGCGTTCTTGCACGGCCGTCTGATGGTCAGCCGCTCCGAGCGCCTTCGGCGCCTCCGTTTAATGTAGCCGCTGGCGCGCCTTGGGCGCGGCAGCCCGCGCAGCTTGCTGCGCTCCAGCCCGCTCTGTGCTCTGTGCCGCGCCAGGCGGAGGCCGAACCGTGGTGGTAGGCTGTGGCCGACCGTCAGGATCGCCTCCGAAAGCCACCTCAGAGCAAGTCGTCCCCGTCTGAGGCCTGGTGCCTAGGGGACTGTTGCTCTGGTGTGGCGCGCCGAGCTGTCTGCGAGCTGAGTCGCCGTGAGGGCTCGGATGCTTTGCTGACCGCCTGCCTTTGGCTGGGGCGGTCGGCGGCCTCAAGGCTTTCAGGCGATCTGCGAGTGTGCCTTGGGCACGGGTCAGGCCTTGCGTCCGCAGCGCCAGAGGGAAAGGCCATGGCTTCGGGAGGCTGTATCGAGCGGGGAGCTCCAGACCTTCTTGGATGCGTGGATCATCATCATCATCATCATCATCATCATCATCATCATCATCATCATCATCATCATCATCATCATCATCATCATCATCATCATCATCATCATCATCATCATCATCATCATCATCATCATCATCATCATCATCATCATCATCATCATCATCATCTCATCATCCTTCCCCCTCCTCCTCCTCCTCCTCCTCCTCCTCCTCCTTCCCTCCTCCCTCGTTCATGTTCCCCCCCTCCTTCCCCCTCCTCCTCCTCCTCCTCCTCCTCCTCCTCTCCTCCTCTGCCTCCTCCTCCTCCTCCTCCTCCTTCCCTCCCCCTCCTCCTCCTCCTCCTCCTCCTCCTCCTCCTCCTCCTCCTCCTCCTCCTCCTCCTCCTTGTCCTCCTCCGCCTCCTCCTCCTCCTCCTCCTCCTCTCCTCAGCCTCCTCCTCCTGCCTCCCTCCTCCTCCTCCTCCCTCATCCTCATCTCATCCTCATCCTCATCCTCCTCCTCCCCCTCCTCCTGCTCGCCGCCGAGATGTGGCTCTCTCTTCCCCCGCCCCCCCAGCCCGCTGGCCTCCCGGGCGGCCGCCGCCGCCGCCTCCTCCACGGCCGCGGCCGCCACGCACCGCAGCTCTGCCGCCGCCCGCGCCTCCGCCTCCACGGCCGCCTGTCGGGGAGCTACTGACCCGGATCAGTCCGGAGTCCAGACCCGGGTCCGTCAGGCTTTGCAGGATCCTCCTCCTCCTCCTCCTCCTCCTCCTCCTCCTTCTCCTCCTCCTCCTCCCTCCTCAGCATCATCATCATCATCCTCATCATCATCATCATCATTCATCATAATCAGCATCATCATCATCATCATCATCATCATCATCATCATCCCCTCCCCTCCTCCTCCTCCTCCTCCTCCTCCTCCTCCTCCTCCTCCTCCTCCTCTCGTTCATTTCCCCCTCCCTCCCCCTCCTCCTCCTCCTCCTCCTCCTCCTCCTCTCCTCCTCCTCCTCCTCTCTTCCTCGTCCTCCTCCTCCTCCTCCTCCTCCTCCTTGCTCCTCCTCCTTGTCCTCCTCCTCCTCCTCCTCCTCCTCCTCCTCCTCCTCCTCCTCCTCTTCCTCCTCCTCCTCCTCCTCCTCCTCCTCCTCCTCCTCATCCTCATCCGCATCCTCATCCTCATCCTCATCCTCCTCCTCCCCCTCCTCCTGCTCGCCGCCGAGATGTGGCTCTCTCTTCCCCCGCCCCCCCAGCCCGCTGGCCTCCCGGGCGGCCGCCGCCGCCGCCTCCTCCACGGCCGCGGCCGCCACGCACCGCAGCTCTGCCGCCGCCCGCGCCTCCGCCTCCACGGCCGCCTGTCGGGGAGCTACTGACCCGGATCAGTCCGGAGTCCAGACCCGGGTCCGTCAGGCTTTGCAGGATCCCGCAAGATCCTGCAGGATCCTCCTCCTCCTCCTCCTCCTCCTCTTCTTCCTCCTCCGCCTTCTCCTCCTCCTCCTCCGCCTCCTCCTCCTCCTCCTCACCCTCCTGCTCCCCCTCCTCATCCGCCACTCCTCCTCCTGATTAATAACTTCTCCCCGTCGCTCTCCTGCAGGATCCTGCAGGATCCGGCGCTCTGACTGACCCCCGTTCGCATCGACCACCCTGTCTCTTGAGCCCCGAAGCCTGGAGCATCGGCGCCGCCCGGTCCAGCTCAGCCTGCCGCACCGCGTCCCGCATCGCCTCGGGCCCAGGCTCAAACATCTCGATGGACTTTCTTTGGTACAGTGGAGGCCATTCCACAAGAAACCTCCCACAAGAAACCCAACCCTGAGACCCCAGGGCGTCCAATGATTTTTGATGTGGGAACGTCACACCTTCCATAGCAGAACCATCGAAACCCAAGAAACCCAGGGCACCCTGGAGGCAAGCAGGGTGTTTCTTGGCATGGGTCTCCACTGCACTCCGAATTTCGTTTCTAACCCCCATAATCAGGAGGGGCTCAAATCCTTCCAAACAAGAAATTGTAGACCCCCCCCCTAGACCAGCCATGAGAGGGCGGCATTGTGTCCAGACCCCCCCGGAACCTCAAAGACGGCTCCGAGCAGATCCCCCCAATAAAACCAAACCACCCAATTTGATTGTGAAATCCGGACGAGCTTTCAGCATCTGGGGGGCCCTCGCTAGGCCCCCGGAACATGAAACAACGGCTCGGGACGAAACGCCGGTCCCTGGGATGGGGTTCGGACCTCTGGGGATGCACGTCGTGAAGAAACGCAAAATCACACAACGTCGGGGGTCTGGCGTCGCCTCCAACTTGGCGTCCACCACCTCGGAGGTCGGGTAGTGGAACATCGCCGAGTCGACGTCCTCGCGGGCGGACAGGTGCGCGCAGAAGATTGGGAGCAGGACGACGACGACGGCGAGGAGGACGAGGAGGGCGGGGGGGAGGACGACGACGCGGAGGAGGGGGAGGGCGAGGATGCAGAGCAGGAGGAGGAGGACGGCGACGACGACGACGACGACAACGACGACGGCGACGACGGCGGCGGCGGCGACGGCGACGACGACGACGACGACGACGGCGACGTGGCGCCACGGAGGGGCCAGCGGCGCCCCGCGGGGCGTCTGCTTCTCAGCGCCGAGGCGGCGGCGCACGGCGGGGAGGGCGCAGCGGGGCCGAGGAGGGGCCCGCGCACGCAGGGCAGGGCCCCTGCGCGCGTCCACGCCCTGCCCTCCTCGCCCTGCCTCCGGAGCGAGGACATCTCGATGCATCTGTCGATCGATGTGTGTAGGTATCGATGTAGATGTGGTACTCGGAGAGAGCATAGAAATGCGTATGTGTGTAGAGTCATACATACATGTGTACACCCATACATACATACATTCACACATACAAACATACCTACATGCATACATGCATACATGCATACATGCATACATGTATACATGCATACATGCATACATGCATGCATGCATGCATGCATACATACATACATACATACGCCAACATCTACATGCACACACATCCGTCTATACATACACCCATACACACATACATATATACATAGATACGCACATGCAGTCATCCATACATACATACATACATACACACATACACATGCATGCGTGCATGCATATACCTTTATAGGCCTAGACACATGTGTAGTTATACATGCACATATACAAACATAACTGCATATGTGCACAAGCATACATGCACACGCATATGCAACCATATATGCATTCATACACACATGCATACATACAATCATACATGCATCCGCAAATGCATACACAGACATGCAGACGTACATGCACACATGCTTATAAAACTGCATACAAGCATACAGATAAACGTGCATGCATGCATGCATGCATGCACGTGCACATGCATACGTACATACGTACATACATACACACATGCAGACATACATGCATACATACATTCATACAGTTATACATGCATACATACATACACACATGCATACATACATACATGCATGCATACATACGTACATATATGTATATGTACAGCCATACATACAAGCATGCATGTATGCATACATACATGCATGCAGACATGCCTGCATACAGGCATGCACACATACTTATATACATACATGCATGCATGCATGTATGCCTACATACATAGGTGCATACATACATACATGCATGCATACATACATACACACATGCATACAAACACAAACGTCTATACACTTATGTATATATATATATATATAAATAACTATATGTAAATACATACAAAACGCCGACGTGAATCAAACCAGGCCCCACGTCGAGCCGCATCGGCAATGCATCGGCGATGCGGCGCGATCCTCCGACCCCATCTACTCGGACCCCATCGACGAGGCCTAGATCCCCAGACATCTGGCTGCTCCAATCTTTCCGATGCGTGGGCCCTGGAGGTCCGGACCACTTCCCCAGAGCCGGCTTTTCGTCCTGAGTCGTCTCTTGACGCTCCCGAGGCCCGGCGAGGGCCCCCCGAGGCCGAACATGGCCAAGAACCGCCCGCTCCAATTTTTGTCAGAGCGTCGGATCTCTGGGACGCGGAGGAGGAGGAGGAGGAGGAGGAGGAGGAGGAGGAGGGAGAAGGAGGAGGAGGAGGAGGAGGAGGAGGAGGAGGAGGTGCGACGCTCTGGAAAAATTGGACGCGGCGGCGGCGACGGTGACGGCGCACGCGGGCGCGCGTCCTCGTCCAGCGCGCGCCGGGCGCCCCTGCCCGCGGCGCCCAGCGGGCCGCCGCCGCTGCCGCCGAGGGGCGACCGCCGGCAGCAGCGGCCGCGGTGCACCGCCTGGATGCGCGTGGCCGCCTGGCGGAGGGCGCCGTCGCTTACTGCCTGACAGACCACCCCAACCCAACCCGAAGACCCGAATTTCGCCCCAATGTCGGTTTGGGGGGGTACGGGCTTAATATATATATATATATATATATATATATATATATACATATACACACACATGTCTGTTTTTGACATGGTCCCCGACACCTCCCCCACTGGAAATGGAGGGCAAATCGGGGCCTTCGGGTTGGAGTGTGATGGTTTGGTGGGCGGTGAGTCGCCACCGCGGCCGCCAAGGGTTGGCCCCCGTCGAGGGGGCCGCTGAGCAAATCTGGCGGGGTGGATGCACTAAGATCCTAAAGGAACCCTGGGACACACGAAGAAATAGATATAGATACCAGGAAATTCCTTAGATTCTCCCATCTGTTCTGGGTTTTCGTCGTCCCACTTCGCACATTTTCCCATATTTTCAATGTGTTCACCTTCCCCCCCCGCACTTCGCATGTTGTCCCGCATTTTCAGAAGGATCTACGGTTACTTGTGTCTGTCTGGTTTCCCTCCTGACCGTCGAGGGGACCGCGGAGCAAATCTGGCGGGGTGGATACACCGAGATCCAGGCGTTGCAGCCTTTTCGGGGAGACGCAAGACTCGGGTTCGGGGAACTCGGGCTGGCCGGACGGGGCCAGCATGAAAATGACAAAACGCAGTCTGAAATTTGACGCGAGCTCCAGCTGCAAGCATCCCACGAAAACTGCACCGTCAAAATCTAGGACGGGTTCGCCGAAAAGCGTCGGCAAGCCCGAGTTCTGGCGTACCCCAAGGACCCTCCCCCAGGCCGATGCGACTCGGACTAGGCATCCGAAAGGTAGGGCCTCGGGCCGCGGTCGTGATCTTTGTTCGCGGTGTTGCCAGTTTTTCTCGCAGCGTCGGATCTCCGGGCACGGTCCGTACACGTCGTTCATTTCTAATCGTGTTCATTTCTAAGTGTGCTCGTGTCTAATTGTTCCTGGCCCCCTAGTGGCCAGGAAGAGGCCCAGGATAGAACAATTAGAAATAAAAGGTCCTGCCCCAAAAAAGAATCAAAGAACTCTCGAAGACTTAGAAGTAAACCATGTGCACCTCTTGCTCAGCGTGTCGCGGCGGCGGCCCCAGCGACACGCAGCAAGCTGCGGGCGGATAGATCGCGTGCCGCTCCGCTCCCCGGGCGGCAGGCCGAGAAGCGCTCGGGGGCTCTGAGGCTCGGGACCTGGGACGCGGTGTGAGGTCGGGGCTGTCCCCCTACAGGCGGGCTTTGGGACGGAAAAGCAAACATAGCCAGAACGCGTTCGAACATAATCCAAAAATGCCAGAAACATCGTCCCCATCTTATTTGTTGTGGCTACTGTGGAATATTCCTCCAGTGGAAGGACAGGCCCGATTGACACGTGGCAGGGCGTGTCGCGGCGACGCGTGCCGGGCAAGAACTTGAGCAAGGGACCGACCGTCCTGGCATTCCTATACCTGTAGTCCTACCACGAAATGTTCTCAGAGACCCCAACTGTTCTAAGAACCAAAACAGTGTTCCTAGAACACAAACCCGATGTGTTAAAACAAGAGAGACTCAAAAAGGTTCGTAGAACTTTGTCTGGTAGGGCTACCTTGTCTTGTTTCATCACATCGGGTTTATGCTCTAAGCACATTGTTTTTGTTCTTAGAACATGTTGGGGTTCTCAGAACATTTCGTGGAAACCACAAAGGGTTCGTAGAACATTGTCTGGTAGGGCTATAGGCGAGCCAGGACGCTTCGCCGCTGCGTGAAGAACCGGCGGCGCGGCACCCCGACATGCCGAGCAGAGGCTCCCGGCAGCAGAGAGAGGCAGTCGCCGGGCGGAACGGGGCGACTCGGCCTCCCTCGCCCCCCCCCTCGTCACCACTGTCCTCCCTCCATTCACGAATCCTCACTCATGTCTCCTCCTCCTCCTCCTGCTCCTCCTTCTCCTCCTCCTTCTCCTCCTCCTCCTTCTCCTCCTTCTCCTGGCCCTTCCTCATCATCCCCCCATTCGTCCTTCCAACCAGGGGGCCGCCGAGCGCCGACGGGCGCTGCTCAGAGGAGGGGGAAGGGGGCATGTCCCGCGTCGGGAGCGGGGGGGACATCGTGGCCAAACGCGGGCAACGCGTTCCTCGTCCTGCAGTGGCGCCCGCAGGGGCGCGTAGGCGCTGCTTGGAGGAGGAGAGGGAGGAGCCATGTCCCCTGCCCAGACCCCCGACGTCGTGAGTTCTATCACAACGTCGACCCCCAGAAGTCTGGACCCCTTCCCCGGGACCGATTTTGAATTCTTAATTCTGCATCGTTTCTTGACGGCCCCGAGGCCCGGCGAGTGCCCCCGGAGGCCGAAAATAGCGAAACGCCTCCCGTCATGATTTTTCACGACGCGAGGGGGTCTGGGTGCCAGGAGCGGGGGGGGCATCCTGGCCCTGTGCGCGGGCAGCGTGCTCCTCGTCCTGCAGTGGCGCCCGCATGGGCTTCTCAGGCGCTGCTCGGAGGAGGGGAGGGGGTGGGGGGGGCATGTCCCGTGCCAGGAGCGGGGGGGACTTCGTGACCTGGCGCGGGCAGAGTGCTCCTCGTCCTGCAGTGGCGCCTGCAGGGGCTCCGACCCAGAGAGCGTCGCCGCGGCGGCCCTTCAGCCCAAACCTGCGCCGGCCCTCGGCGGCCCCTGGGCGACGCAGCGCAGCAGAAGGGCGGTAGCGGCGCGGGCGCTGTCGAGGGCTCGAGGCGGCAGGGCCGCCTGGCGTCGCCCGAGAGCTCGAGAGCTCGAGGATCGAGACTCAACGGGTCTGAGATCGAGCACATCGAGGATCGAGATCGAGGATCGAGGATCGAGATTCGAAGGAATCGAGGATCTGATCATCGAGCACGTCGAGGTCGTGGGGCATTCTCGGCCCCATGTTGGCCCTCCTGGCGCGCCCTCGTCGACACGGCTGGAAGCACCTCCGAAGAACATGGCCAAAACGGACCTCAGGAGACGTTTTGGACGTCGTCGTCGTCGTCGTCGGCGGCGGCGGCAGCGGATCTCAGTCCGGAGGGAAG